ATGTAAAACTGTAAGATTGAGAAATCAATAAACTAGGGAATAGTTGTGATTTGGATTTTCTTTTGTAAGTGTTTTGTTTTGTTTTTCTAACCAGAAGAAAATAATTTGCACCCTCTTCATGTAAAGTTTATTCTATTGTTTTAGATGAAAATGGTACACCAAAACAGTTGTGCTCACCAAAATTAATCAATGACAGCAGACCATTAAAGCGGCTAGCCTTCATCCGTGGATGAACTCCTACTATCCACTTACATCAACTCTTGCTTGTCCCCCAATGAGAGGAAGAGGCATTGTTGTATTGCTTGGGAGCCTAGCCTAGCAGAGCCATCTTGCCAGTCCGCTCGTTGCCTATTTTAGAACCTAGCCTGTCTCTTTGCTCTGGGATCACACATGTTCTTCATCTTGCTTAGCCGGGTAGCTGCACCCCCTCCCCTGCTATTTCCTTTCACCTATCAATAGAGCCAAGCCCCACATTTCAACAGAAACAATCCAAAACTCGCAGTTACCCTTGTCTCCCGGCTCCTCCTCTTCTCTTAGCTTAGCTTTTGGTACAGTCCGCTGCTTTGTCTGCTTCTCCTTCAGCCCAGACGCTTGTGTCCCTAACCCTACCCCTTGATGGCTTCTTCCGCAGCCATCCCACTCTACTCTTCTTGCTAGAGATTGAACGTGTGCTTCCTGCATTTTGCAAAGTATGTTTCTGATTACATATCCCAGCCAATTTCTTCTCCATACTCCAGTCTGACCTTTCTGTCTCTAATTACCTAAGTTATTCTACTCTAGAAGTACCGGCAACTTAATATTATTTGTATAATGTATATAGTGATACTGGCTTTCTCAGACAAGCGTTGGAAATTTAATGCTGGTTATGGTGTATAAACGCCTCAGAACAGCACAGGGCGTACGGCAAACACCGAATGGATGACAACTATAATCACCACTTGTTTTCTATTTCTTTCGCAGTCTGTCATCTAATTTTCTCTATAATGTATGATTTTCCTTTGTTCATAGCTGGAGCTCCCATTAGTTCTTAATTGTTAATTAAGATAAGCTTTGCAAAGGGAGGCATCTCTGTTTTGCTGCTCTGTTCCCTCCCGAACTGGTTGGTACCAGGCTGTACTTAAAGCAGTTAACTTTACAGCCCATGTGCTCTTAGAGAAGTAACTCCCTCTCTCCATGCTTCTGCTTCTTCACCTACAAGGATTCATCACTAGACTGCTGCAGGGGCTAAAAGTATCAACAGAAATAGATGCTTAGGATAGTGCAAAGCACACAGACCCAGAAAATACAGCCATTTTATGGTAACGCAGGGGCTATCCTTTTCCGGAAGGTCACGGAGTCAAAGCTTGGAAGTCACACGAAGAATGAAAACCCATTGCTGCAGATACCATATAACAACGACTCCTGGTACCAGAGCTTAGACTGGGGCAAGTTCAAATTATGGCAAGGGTCTAAGATACTTGAGCATGAAGAATAATGGCTCTGTCACCGAAGCTGAAGCTGCCTGCTTAAGTGTTTGTAAGGCTTACACTGGCAGATGTCAAGTGTCTAAACTCCTGCTATGAGCCACGTTCCCCTTGCTCTTCACCTTTAAGCATGTGAAAGCGTATTTATATTCTGATTTCAGAAGATTCTGTCATTTTGCAGAACATTTAGTAGAACGAGGCCTGGTCCTGAGTTTATTTTATTAGGTGTGAGTTATTACACATTCTGAGTTTCAATTACTTTGATTATAAAGTATGTTTTTAGAAGGGTTGTAATAGACTATACAGTCCTTTATACTGAGACAACGGATGACTATAAACTAACAACGGATCAGATATTCTTGAGTTTAAACACCGGGTATGTCACTGGCTGTTTATGAGCTATAACCCTCTCGACTTAACTTTCTGCATGTAAGAAGAGACTAATCATGCCCCCACTCAGCAGAGCAATCTAGCAACAACTAGAAAGGCACCTAGCACAGTCCTACAATAAGGTTTACAATAAGGATCGACTTCTATCAAAAGACTCTAGGTCTCTTGTCCTTCGCATATGACAATGTTGTATCTAGCAACCAGCATATTTACTTTATTCCCTGAATATTAAATATGCTTATAGCAACTATTAAAAAACAGGCTATGGAAAATGTTCCATGAAGTACAAAGAATAGCATATTTTAATAAATATTTGCAGACCTAATAAAATGTGTAGAGATTGTTTCCACATGGTGTATTTAGGGAAACAGGAAACGCTAAGATGGAGAGTTGAGAGAACTGCTGGTGCCCAGAGTTTAGAAGACAGACAAATGAGATTTTAGATGCTGCATGGTGATCCAGGAGAATAATATGATCAGATACTCTATTTGCAGAAAACACCACACGACTCAGTGCAGTGTACACACACACACACACACACACACACACACACACACACACACACACACTTGAAAAAGGCAGAGTTCCCAGAATCAAAGATTTCAGTTCAGTTGCAGGGAAGGATTATACCCTGTGGCCTGACCCAGTTTGTGAAGTGAGGGATACGTTTTGACTGTTGTAGCCTAGAACACTGTGCACAGCATCCCCCAAGAAACTAAGAATTTGCTCAGTAAAATCAAACATCCTTCATTATGGTCTAAATGTTGCAATAAGACTACTATACATCGCAAAGTAAATGAGGTGTAGAAATGATAATGAATGCAAAATGATCCCTAAATGAAAGTCAGGGCTTTCTGAGTCATTCTGCTTTCGGTGTAGAATATATACATCTGGCCTCTGATGACGTCAGCAGTTTGTTTTGTTTTAGCTTGTCAATAACTAGACGAATACATTGCCATGCCATTAACTGTCTGACAGAGCCGTGATTTTCATTCAGAGAGTAAATTCAAAATTCCAAATGTTGTAGCTATATCAGTCAGGGAAATTGGGGTGCAGCTGGCAAGAAGGTAGGCAGAAGCAGCAAGGTTGGGAAGAAGCTCAGAGCTGAACACTGATGGATGCTCTACATCGGCATGACTTCAAAGGAGGCAGATTCCAGTGAGCTCCAAACGAGAAGCAGAACTCAGTGAGGGAAGAACCCGACCGACGAAAGAATTACTTCTGTCTTCAGAAGCATTCTGACTGCAGCAACTGTGGAGTATTCCCAGGTCCCCTCCTGCCAAGTGCTACAGTGGAATTTAGAAAGCCGATTCATCTCACATTTGTGGAGTGGATTTAATTATTAATTGATTGCACTGGCAATAAATAAACAACTTAATTAAGTGTGGTATGTTGCATTGCCTTTGCCTCTGTATGTCTTGTTACACTGGGCGAATTCTGCTTTCCAGATAACCTTCCCTTTTATCCCTAAACCTTAGCATAGTAAGGCTCTTCCTTCCTTCTTTTCTTTCTTTCTTTCTTTCTTTCTTTCTTTCTTTCTTTCTGTTTTTAGGGTTTTTTTTAATTATACAATATATTTTGGTCATATTTTTCCCATCACCCAGGTCTTCCTCAACTCCCTACCCACCTAACTTTATTCCTCTTTTCTCTTTCTCTTTCTCTTCGTTCCCCCCTCTCTATATATATATTTGTATACATACATACATATATATCATACATATTATATATAAAAGAAATAACACATTTTTTAAAAAAAAATTAAACAAAAGAAAACACCAAAACAAAATTGGGTGTAGTGGTGCACACCTTTAATGCCAGCACTCGGGAGGCAGAGGCAGGTGGATCTGTGAGTTCTAGGCCAGACTGGTCTACAGAAGGAGTTTGAGAACATCCAGGGTTACACAAAGAAATCTTGCTTCAAAAAAACCAAACCAAAATAAAACAAAAGCCAACATAGATTTGGCTTTGAATTGGCCAGCCTGCCTAGGTTGATATACCAAGAGACACTCCATTGGAGAAAACTGATTTTCCCTTTGCCAGCAGTTATCAATCACAAACAGCTTCTTGCTTAGGGGTGAGTCTGTGTCCACTTCCTATTTTCAGTGTTGGGAGTCCATCTGGCTTGAACCTGTATAACTTTTCTTTCTATGAATATTCATGGATTTAGGATTAATAAATTTCATCATCATTTCAAGTATACTATGTGACTACAGACTAGACATGTTGCATTATTAGTTTTGCAAAAGCCTAAAAAAATATTTAGGAGGAACTGGTAATTTTGACTTCAGTGACAGATTTAATCTGCAGTAAAAAAAAAAAAAAAAAAAAGCAGTCATTTCTACTGGTCATCTACAGACACGCACGTACAGCTCTCCTCTGTGCACAAGGCAGCTTGTAACTACCCATCACTCACCTAGAATGAGGACTTCCCTTTCTAGTAAGGGCCATCTGTACTCTATTCATCAAGACCTTCCCACTACTGCGAATACTGTTCTTGCCACTTTATAGATCCTCTTGTGAAATAGAATCGGAATCCTTTAGTGAGCATCCATGAGATTTCTCCAGGCCATTCTGAATGTGCTTTAAGCCTGCCTCCCTCTCTTTCTCTCGAAGTAGCAAAGTCATTGCCCCAATCCTTAAATGACCTCAACAAAACAATCTCCAAAGCTACTCAAAATGGGCAGAGTGTTGAGGCTCACCTTTGTTCCCAGGGGATTAGAATTCTCTTCAATTTTAAATCAAATCTTACTTGATTTAAAGCTTTATTAATACTGATGCCACTATTATTCTTATATGTTAATAACTTTGCTATTTCTCAGGACAACTTCCTTGACGGATGTAGTTTAAGATTTTGCCATGACATATATCATCAAGCTGTAGGTACTTTCAGCAGGAAATACATGAAATATCAATTTCCATAGTTCAAAATATCAATTCACAAGTCTATGCAAAACAATCTATTTGAAACATAAACAATAGTTGTATAAATATATGTTTATATTATAAAATTACATATGTATAAAAATCTAGAAACTGTAATACATACTTAGCTCAATGTGGTTTTATTTGAAACACCAAGTTCACTCAATTTCTCCCTGAAGCTTGCTCTAGGTAGGACAGCAATGTGAACTTGTAGCCAAGACTTACCTCTTCTTTTCTTGTCTCACGTCCTTTCTGCACAAACCAGACGACCTTCGCTTGTAGCGAGCGTGGGGTGCACTCCAGCAGCGTGCTGTTACTCTCGATACCATAAGCCAGCCTCTCTTCTGTCCGGTCCAAAGCGTCTCCTACAGCAGAAAGGCAGGAGCATCAGTAGTGAGACTGGAATTTTATTGCTAGATGGTTTTTATTATTTTTATTGTATTCAGGTCCAGCAGCAAGGTAAATAACTCTTTCCTGGCTGCTAATCACTACACAGTTCTGAAAAATGAGTTATTTGGAACACCATATGAAAACTTGGGGATTACAAAAGGTAACTACATGATGAAGTGGGATAGAAGGCGGCACCTGGGAAACTGGCTCCAGAACATGGACAGAGATAAAGTTAGAGACAACATTCTCTGGTAAGTCAAGGGCATGGCATGAGACCACGCGTTCCAAGAACGTGTCTGATTTTCTCAGGATGTTTTACATTCACTACGAAAATTGATCTCTAAACTTCCTTTGATTAAGACCATACTTTCTCTTGCATATACTCCCAGGAACTGGAGTCCCTGCATGGAATCCAAATTTTACTGGGTCTAAAATAGTAGTAGCAATAATAATAATGATAATAATAGTAATAATAATAAACCTCTGGGTTGCAAGTTCTAACAGTAGGCATAACACCCGTTGACTATCCATGATGGCGGCCATCACCCTGCGCTTCTCGGAGACCCAATAACAAAACGAAGCTCTGTCATTGTCTATGACAATAGGACTGAAGAGATCGTTTTCCCCTGTTTTGTTTGACATTCTTGTTTTTGCCTAAATATGAAGATAGTTAATATCAGTTCTAAAATTACTCTGCTGTAGCAGAAGAGGAAATGGTTTTCATTTGTTCTAAAACTTAGTAGATGAGGTGATATATGTTACATCATAAATAATAAAAATAAATTTGAGAATGGTGGTGTTGTTGCTCATCTTTGATCCCAGCGTTCCAGGGGGAGAGGCAGGTGGATCTCTGAGTTGGAGGCCAATCTGGTCTACAGAGCAAGCTCCAGGACAGCCAGGACTACACAGAGAAAACTCTGTCTTAAAAAAAAAAACAAAAACAAAACAAAACCAAAAAAGAGAGGGTGGGTAATAAATCTGAGAAGAAGAGGTAGGTCCTGGAAGACACTGCCACCAACCGCTGGTAATTTGCTGCTTTCTGGTCCTAACTTTCCTCAGCCTTGATGTCTATTAGCAGGTTGTATCAGTGATGAGATCTGCAGCCAGTTTTGCTAGTTCTGTCAACTACATCTGATTGTAAACGTTGGGCAAAAACAGATCCTTCCAAAACAGTGGTCCAGGAAGGAGATGCACTTAAAGAAATGCGCAGTCCATCTTCAGCATATAGTGGGTAAATCACAACAATAGATTTTTCTAAGAATTACCAGCAAACTGTTGTCCGAAGCACTGCTGGGCCGCATTGCCATGCCGGACGTCCTGCCTGCGGAACCGCCTGGAGGAAAGAAAATTCAGGAGATTCTGAGATTTCATTTTACTGGATTTAAAAATACAGCCAAACAAAGTGACAATTCCAGAAAAGTTCTGCTGTTGAAAAAAAAATTATCTGTTATATAAAAGCAGCATAAAATCCAAGGTTTACATTTTTCTTATTTCCAGGCAGTATTTTCAATGGTTCGAAGATCTATACAACACTGTTCTTTATACGTTTACATTTGTTTGAACTCCAGACCCTCAAATACTAATTTAATAAATTTCTCTTTACAGTTTGTTAAACATTTGGTTCAACAAGAAACTCACAGTCTGTAAAGGAATGACAAGTGGTGTGCCCAGTTAAGAACAATAAGAATGTTTATTTGAGTAGAGAATGTAATAAAAAGCCCTACACATAATGAAGTGCAACGAGGAAAAGGATATGCGAATCCAAATATTTTACCTTCCTAGCCTCTCGAGTTTTCATTGTTACCGTTCCTATGACTCTTCACTGTCGTTAAAAATGATGGTGGAATGTTAGCGAGGAGGGCAGTTTTTATCACGGGAAAAGCAAGAGTAGACGATATTACCAATCAAATTTCGGCGCTATGCACTATATACAAAAGAATGCTGGCTTTGTTTTAAATGGATTGCTAATTAGAAAACTTTAGCCAAAGATACAGAATTTGACAAAATGAAAGTTAGAACTTCTACGAGAGTCATTGCTCTGTGCTAGACTGAAATAAAAACTTGTAATAAAGGCAAAGGAGCAGGGGGTTAGGGCGTTGTTTTATGCTAGTGTGCACAGCTAGATTCAAGAACAGTGAGCAAGGAGTCTCTTCAGCTGCCAGTGTGGAACCAGCCTATGGTGAGCACTGCTCCACAATATGAGTCTGCTGGGCAATGGTGGCTGATGCGGTAGGGGTCAAAAGGAGCAAGGGAGGAAACAGTTTGCATGTTGCAGTGATGATGTTTGTTGAGATATTATACTAACTATACGAGGATAATAGAAACAGCATTCTAGATCATTCTAGAAAAGAAACTTGAATAGTATATAAATAATTCAAATTTTTGTTCAAAATAGTTGGAAACCCGCAGTACTGAAAAGGTGACATCTTCCAGCAGGCTTTCAGCTCCTGTTAGAGTACCCAATCATTTTCCTTTAGGCTAGCATTAAACAAAACACTAGTTATCATCAGAACACAAGAGCTTGACTCAAGAAGCTATACACTCTTGAAGAATGAATATTTTTCTTGTATCCCTTCCTTCTTAGGAACTTGTAAAGAGGATACTGGAAATAAACAAAGGAGAGCCAGGAGGAGAGGAGGAGCCAGCTGCAGGGATTGCAGTGTACTTTGGAAGGTCATTTAGAAGTGGCCAGACGGTGAATTAGCTACCAACACATTTTCACTCTGGGAGAGGAAAGAAAGGTTTATGTAAATGAGTTCTTTTTCTCCCCGCTTCTATTCCCGTCTGAGGCAGAAATGATCCCTATAAAAGCAAACTACTTTCTCTCCATGTGCTGGAATTTACCCCAAAGGTCTCCTCCAGGAGGAATGGTTGAAAAGAACTGGACACAGTGGAAGATCTCGAGTGCCCTGAACTGAGCTAATTCATTTCTAAACATGGCTTCGGATCCTGGCGTCTCATCCCTTACTGCCCATTTATTTTGTACATTTCTCTAACTTTTTCTAAGTTACTCTTATCGACCTTGTGCTGTGGAACAATCTTTGTGCACTGATGTAGTACACTCATTGGTTAATAAAGAGCTGACTGGCCAAAAGATAGACAGGTAGAGGTTGGGAGGGGCTTGCAGACAGATGGGATGCTGGGAAAAACAAGGGTGGAGTGAAAGAGTCTCCAGGAGATGAAATTACTGTGGTGAGATAAGGAATTGAGCCACTTGGTAAAACATAAACAGAAATATAGGTTAATTAAAGTTATAAGAGCTAGTTGAGTAATAAGCCTAAGCTATTGGCCTAGCATTTATAATTAGTAAGGCTCAGTGTGGTTATTTGGGAGTTGATTGTCAGGACAGCTGACTGCTGAGATACTGAAACACCCTACCTACAAATCTGTGGTTGTAAACTTTTAAAAGATGCTCAAGGTCCAAATCAGGAGCAGAAGGAGACGGAGCACGAGCAAGGAACTCAGGACCACGAGGGGTGCACCCACACACTAAGACAATGGGGATGTTTTATTGGGATCTCACCAAGGCCAGCTGGCCTAGGTCTGAAAAAGCATGGGATAAATCCGGACTAGCTGAACATAGCGGACAATGAGGAATACTGAGAACTCAAGAACAATTGCAGTGGGTTTTTGATCCTACTGCACGTACTGGCTTTGTGGGAGCCTAGGCAGTTTGAATGCTCACCTTACGAGACCTGGATAGAGGTGGGCAGTCCTTGGGCTTCCCACAGGTCAGGGAACCCTGATTGCTCTTCGAGCAGATGAGGGGGGGGGGACTTGATCGGGGGAGGGGGAGGGAAATGGGAAGCGGTTGTGGGGACGAGGCAGAAATCCTTAATAAATAAATAAATTAAAAAAAAAATTAAAGATGCACATCAAATGAAGAAATATTAGCTCTGGAAATTCCTCTGTTAGAACAATATTGTTGCTGTGTGCCTGTTGAAGAGCTTGCTAGTCATGTATAAAATCGCACAACTCATAAGCGATTGGTGCAGTATCTGCAAACTTTTATTTTATAATTGCCAGTGACAATGCATCAATAAGCCTCATCCCATCTGTAAAATGTCCATTTGTGGCATGACCGGGGATAACGGAGTGTGGAGAAACATTTGATGGTCTTTATCTATGGGTATCCACCCTGGTTTCAAAAGTTTAATGAGAGGATGAACCTTTGGTGAGATAAGTCTATTTACCTTGATTTATTCTCTGCACAGTGTACACATACATGTGCGTGTGTCAACATCTCATTATAGCTCATAAGTCTCTACATTTTGCATCACTTAAAATTAAATTGGGGCAAAAATGTAAAACCCACAAGCATTAGATCTTTAAAATAATCCCTTCAGATAAGTTCCTCTTCTAGTATTCACTTTTGAGTCAGTGAAGGGCATGGTTCCTGCTGAGCGCTCGATGCCTTTGCGCAATCTTTTTCCTTAACTGGAACCTCTCTCTACTGTGTCATAGCAGTGACGCTCAGCTCTAGAGAATGCAATAAAACATCCCTTACACTGCACTTGGTCAAGCACCTAAAATGCTCAGAAACGAGCTGCCACTGGCACTGTTCTCAGCTCTATTCTCTACCCGAGTCCTTGGTTTTCTGTAGATGAAGGTCTTCACACCCCAAGCTTGCAGGAGTAGGTGAACAAGCTTCCTTAGCATTTCAAATAAGTCCAACTATATTCTTCAAGAATGGCTTGAAATACCGATGAGCACTTGTAGAGAAATTGAAATGATTTGCTCCCTTGTTCAGCACAGTTGGCAAACTATTTTGTCCATAGTTCTCTGAAAGATGCCCTTCATCTTTGTCTCATTATATTCTGTCTTTAAATCATTCTTAGAATGTTAATTTGCTAAAGTCAAATTAATAAAAGTTTTGAGTTAATGAAGACTTTTGTGTTTGTGTGCATGTGTGTGACAAAGAGACAGACAGGCAGAGAGAGAGACTTTTTGTGTGATCCTAAAAAGATTACTATACTGATTTAGATTCAAATTGGATCAAAATATATTTTTGAAAAATTAACACAAAATTAAATTATAATGACTGGAATTCATACACATATCTTTTCTGAAAGAATTTTAGATAATTCTATGTATTGCTTTATATATTCTTTATGAGAAAAAACACCCTGCTTTTTATATAAGAACTTTTCTTATTTATTTTTCTAAAATATATACAGCCGCCACATAGCGTAAGTGGAAAAATAGTCTTCAAAGTATTGTGGGAGCCTAAAAACTCCTGTTTAGAGATAGCATGGGTTTACTTTCCCTTGCAAATGGCAATGATTTCACAGAGCTACAGACATTAGACTTCAGAGGTCTCTTGGTACCTTTCATTTGTGTTGAATTAAATCACACATTTCATTAATTATACAGGTCATGTGTTTGCTTAGGAGTTAAAATATTCTCTTTCAAACTGACATAAATGAAGACCAGCTGCTGGAGGGGACTTGGGAAACTCCAGGGTGTGTTCGAGGATGTATTTATTTATTTCCTTTTTTAAGTCTCTGAATCCTTCAAGCGTGGTGGCTTTCCATTTCCCTGTTTTTACTTTCTCTGAAGTTCATTATGTCTTGGAGCAACAAAAAATCAAAGGAGGAGGAGATTTAGTGCAAAGTGAGGTAAAACGAAAAAGTCTGAAAGGGGGTGCTCAATTCTGCTCAGTGTACAAGATAGTACATCAAAAGGTGTCGGCATAAAAATGGCAACTTGTGAACGCTTTATGTTTATGAACAGAATATAATTAGGGTGGTTTGTTTAGATTAAAAAATAGCTTGTTTTCATTGAATGTGCACAAAAAGGAAAAAAAAAGACCCTCAAAATGATAGTTTTTCTGAACAGTGGAAACTTCCCCCTGAGTCGATAGCTTACCTCTTTGCATGTGCACCTGTTGGGTAATACCTGGAGCAGGAAATGCCATCCCAGGCACAGTAAGGGTCTCGCGCCAGGCAGCAGTCCGCACAAGCATTGCCGTACATGTCGCAGTGATGGAATCTGACCTGCGCCACCGCGGAGGGCGATCCGATGTAGAGCTGTTGCTGCAGGGAAGCATGAGGCCATTAGCGGAGCTGAACGTGCAGAATTCGCAAAGACAGAGCCTGTCTTCTTACAGTGGTAACAATAAATAATGAACAACCGCTTTTCCATACAGAAATCGTGTGCTACCGTCCTTGAGTGCTTTGGTGTTAATTAACAAACAGAAAAGACTTGGGCATGCAAGCAACTTACTCTTTTTGATGAGATTTCCATAGAAATGATAGGAGCTGGATCCTGAAATGAGTCAAAATGTTTTCTTTTTAGTAAATATAGGAATAGCAGTTTAATAAGAAGTCAAAATAGTTATGGCAGGTGCTAGGCTTGCAGCCTGTATCGTTTGCTTTAGTGAAACAACATGCAAATCCAATTCAATTAAAACACAGCTTTCCAGTATTTCCTAATGGCTAGGAAATCCTGCACACGTGAGGAAAAAGGGTGATGCAGTTATTCTTTGCCTCTGAGGTAAACAGCAACTGTTTTGATTGATATTTGTGATTTACAAAGCGCTACATCCTTAGAATAATAAAGTGGAAATTTACTAAAGTATTTGAGCCATTAGAAGTAAATTAACCGCATTTTAGAATATGTGTAATACCTAGTAAACTATATGGTTTTTAGTTATTTGAGCTCAAGCCTGTAAGGACCATGCCTGCAATATGAATGATCAGAGTGAACCACTGTACAATGTTTGACCATGATGAAAAATCTCGTCTTCTTAGGATTATGATAGACGAAAGACAATACATGGTACAGCGTCAGGAGCTTTCATGTTAGGTTAGCAATGCTGTTTAATATTTGAGCCTCTTTAACATTCACACACACACACACACACACACACACACACACACACACACACACACAAAATCTCTAAAATTAATCATACAAACAGAGAAACACCAGGCAGATGGAACTCACTCAGGGAATAGCTACCCTTTGAGTAATTAATTTTTAAGAGAAAAATATATGGACATTATGACAGTTTTTAAATTACATTTCAGATTTATTTACTGAGTGTGTGTCCTGGAGGCATAGTACCTGTGTGAAGGTGGAGGGCTGCTTTCAGGAATCTGTGCTTTCCTTCTACCGTGTTGGCTCCTGGGATCAAGCTTGAAACATTAGTCTTGGCAGCAAGCTGCCTTCCCAGCTGAGCCATCGCTCCCACCTTAACAGTTTTTTGTCCTGTTTGGGTTTTTTTTTCTCTCTCTCGCACACTCATTTTTCTATCTATTTATCTCTCTCTCTCATCTATCATCTATCTCTATCTATCTATCTATCTATCTATCTATCTATCTATCTATCTATCATCTATCTATCATCTATCTATCTATCATCTATCAATCTCTCACTTTTCTACCTATTTTTCTGTCATCTATCTCTCTATCATTTATCAATCTCATATTTTTAATCTATCTATCATCTATCAATCTCTCATTTTTCTACTTATCTATTATCTCTCTACCTGTCTCTCTATCATCTATCAATCTTTCATTTTTCTATTTATCTATCTACTATCAATCTCTCAATTTTCTATTTATCTATGTATCTATGTATCATTCATCTATCTATTTTTGTTTGGATTTGTGTGTGTATGCATTATGTAACATTTTGGACAATGAAACACTTTGCACACAAGGGCATTGCTCATTTATTCATCCAAGTAGAAATGATCCTAAAGAGTTGTTGTGGAAATACTGATAATGAGAGCTATTGCCCCAATGCTAAATTAAATATTACATAGAGGCCCACAATGCATAATAGCAAGTATATCTACTGTAGTTGAGAGAGAAAGAAGGCTTTCCCTGTGAACAGCACTAGGGAAATCCACTCTCAGGGATAGCAAAGATAAAATGTCTCTTTCTCCATTAACCAATTCTTTCTGCTAACATCCATTATATTCATATATGATCAGTCATCATCATTTGTAGACTCTGATTTGCAAAAATGTCTACCTGCTAAATTAGATTGTAGTCATAATATTAATACCTGAAGTGTATGTCTTTCTTTTTCACACGAGAAAAAGGAAGAGGGCAACAAAGAAACTGAAGTGTGGAATGTCCACATCTCTAGCTAGGTTGGCAGAGTGATCTCCAAATCCTTCAGCCTTGTGGTTTAAATAAGTGTGCACTTCATGGACTATTTAGTGCCATTTTGTTTCACTTCATTGATGGTGTCTTTGTGCTTAACATGTGTTCAAGCATGGTGCTGATGTGCTATGAAGTATTTTCAAAACTCAAAACAGCTGCGATGCATCTCAGTGTCCAAACCTATGTAAGACTTGAGCTCCATTCAGGCATGAGTTACAGTGATACTGAGGTCAGCTCAGTAATGTGTCATCAACAATGTAGACTAAGATGCTTTAAACAGAAACACACACAAGGCAAGGATGGGAATTGTTCCGATGAAAATATTGTGGTCAGAAATTTGCAGGATCCTGTTAGGCAGAAATATGAGTCAAGATTGAGGAATAGGCTTAAACATGATATCTGTTTCACTAATAAAACCTTGTGGTATATATTTTTCATTATGTTATAGATCCATATTCATAAATACATATTTTCATATATTTGTTTTATGTTTTAAATATGATTTTCTATATTTTCTTATTCTTGTTAATTTCTTTATGTAGTTAATATGTTACAGTTAAACACAGTGTGCTCCTCCTGTCACAACGTACACTAGTTGAAATGCGATATTAGTGACAATGTTAGCCATGTTTGTGTAAGATACAGGTCTTCACTGGTTGTTCTGGAATTCACATGTGAGATGAATGCTCTTTCTTTATGAAAGTGGTTGGATACTGATGTTTGTTTCTATTGCAAGCACAATGGCACTTTTGAACATTCTGGTCATGAGATTTTAAATTATTCTTCCCTTCATTTTTCTCTGAATTCAAAATAAACCTACTAGAGGAAAAAATATCCTGAAACTAATAAGACATTTTTCTCTTCCCTTCCAGCTTTGATTGAGTGTGGTGTGCGAATCTGATCTGTATCGCTCATGAAATTACCTTGAATATCTGCAGCTCCTCTAGAATGACCTCCTCCATCCACTCCGTTTCTTGGTTGTAAATTGTGATTACTTTCAGCACAATTCCTGTATCTATGAGAAAGCAAAATTGGCAATAATAGAAGGGGAGTGAGGAGCCAGACTTCAAGGGGACTGGAAATAAGAGGCACACAACACTTGACCACTGCCAGCTAAAACTCACGTGACTTCTTATACACCAACAACTTTAGTTGGTGAAGATCTATTTTGCATGCAGAACCAAATTTTTAAGTGACATACAGATTCTTTTTCCAAATAGTTTGGTCAATACAAAAACAAAATTAGAGACTGAGAAATCAAGCTACCATATTTTAGAAGTTTCTTCTGTGATGAATCAGATAAACAGATAAGTCTACCTAAGTCTTCTGCAGGATTAGAATCATGATGTACTTCTAGCCCCAAAAGAAACAAATTGCTGTTTTGTTTCTCTTTGACTGTGTTGAATACAGTGCCTACCATATTCTAGGCAAAACCCCTACCAGTGGATTGCACTCTATGACTTATGTATATTAATTTTTCAAATATCTGGTTTGCAGTCAATATAAAAGAGCAACGTATGTTAAAATAATCCCTAAAAGATAGTTTTTAGTTCTAGGTTTTCTCTGACATAATTTGTTCTTTAAAATCAGTGGTTCTCAACTTGTAGGTCATGTGTCATGATCCCATTGGGGTCCCATATCAGCTATCCTGCATATCAAATATTTACATGATAATTCATAAAAGTAGCAAAATTACAGTTATGCAGTAGCAACAAAATGATTTTATGGCACCACAGCATGAGAAACTCTCTTACAGGGCTGTAGTATTAGGAAAGTTGAGAACCATTGCTTCAGATTATGTTTTTCTGATTTTTTTCATCTGAGGGAAATTGCCTATACCAATGAATCAATAGTAAATACATCCATGTTGAAATTTGGAAGGACAGGCTGGGAAGACTATTCGGTGTGGAAACTATTTGCCATAAAACTGTGGGCCTCAGCACCCTTGTGACAGCCTTGACCCAGCCACACAGCTGGCACCCCTGAACTGGCCATGCAAAGACAGAATGATGCCTGGTATTTGCTGGCCAGCCACGTCTACCCCATTAAGGGAGATTAATAATTCATTGCCAACTACGCGGCTTCTATAACCGCATGTTGCTTTGTAAAGCTATAATTGTTTAGATTTCCATTCTATGTTTTTATTCTTCCTAATATTCTGAGTTTGTTCTATCTACTTGCAGTTTGGATAAGAAATTAATTTATACTTACACATAACTGATTATGGGTAGAAATAATAATTTATAAAATATATTAGACCTTTAGAAGTATTAATCTATGGACATCTGTGAGATTTGAACATTTTATCCATAATTACCAGGTCCTATACATGAATTAATAAAACTAGATTGCAATTAACCTGATAGCACACACCTTTATTTTCTATTAAATAAAAAGAATAAAAAATTGCTCCATTTTGTAAGTTAAATACACAAGTCCACATGATAACATCAGACAAAAGCAAAAATGCAAGTTGATTTATTCATTTGGAAGCAATGAATTTGCATGAATAACAGCCAAATATTGCATTAGAGCCCATGCCTGGCAAATATTGAGAGGGGGACCTATTATTTATAGGCTTTTCCAATATACTTTCCACACATCAAAAGTAGCTTCATTTGTTTTGGGAGACTGTAGCCCAATTGACAATATCAGTGAGTTAAATAAAATGTAGTTATTTCCCGAATGTTCTAAAAGAACTTGGATAAATCAAACAAGAAAACAGTTTTAGGATGGTTAGATATGTCTTCTGTTTTCTATGAGATTTAAAATAAAATATTTTCACCATTTTAACTGCAGTTCAGTCTTGATTTTGGATTTTCTCTTTTTAGTGGTCAGAAATCACCATGTATGAGTGAGTGGTCAGGTAATTACAGGTTTCTTTTTTTGTTTGTGGTTTTGTTTTGTTTTGTTTTGTTTTTTCTCGAGATAGGGTTTCTCAGTAGTTTTGGAGTCTGTTCTGTAACTAGTTCTAGTAGATCAGGCTGGGTCTCGAACTCACAGAGATCCGCCTGCCTCGGCCTCCCGAGTGCTGAGATTAAAGGCGTGCGGCTCCACCGCCCAGCAATTTCAGGTTTCTTACAGAGCTCCCATTCTTACAGAATATTGATCTCACAGAGCACACTATTAATCTTATCAACAATGATAAGATAGTGTCTGCACTATTGGTCTATTAAGTTTAATGTTTCTTTCCTTAAAATTTTTTTCTAAGATCTATTAAGTTTAATATTTCTTTGCTTATTTTTTTTTCAGGAAAATAAAGCTGTAGACCAAAGAAGCATGAAGAGGACTTAGCAATACATCCTTTTCCTGGCATACCCAGGCCAGGACCTCCTGCAGTGTCTTGTTTGAAGCTCCGTAGGGTCAAATGCTTAAGAATGTTTCCTAAGATCATTGCTCCTGCACACAGAGACGAGGATTTTAAGTTGAAGCACCACACAGTATTTGTTCTTCATAACACTGGGTGCTCAACAATTTACAAGTTTCTTCCCATAAGTAAGACTTAATGTGGCGGCATTAATTGAAGCTATGAGTTCATTTGGTCATTTTATCTTTAGCACTGTGCAAACCAGCTAGTGGAACAACATACGTGCTGATTTGTAAAAGCTGTCTGAGGACAAGCCGGAATGGATCAATGCTTTCTTGTGATTTTACCTGTCCCGATAAATAAAACATCATATTGGCCATCCTCGGCTTCCACTCGGTCCACTGCCAGTTGCTTCAGGTTATATTTTCCATCCGTTTTCACGAGGATTGGCTTTTTATGCGCCGGTTTTATGGGCTGATACATTAGTGGATGCGTCCTTGCGAAACGAATGGCGTCGTCAGGGTAGTCTTTGGTGGTCCCATACTTCCCTCCATTCATCTTGCTGGCACACTAAAATGCAAGTAGGTTAGTTCATTCTTTTCTCTTAAGCCTGAAGAGCAAACATACGACCACTACCAAAAAAAAATTAGACATGTCAAATAAGCTCAAGCAATGAACTGTGCACTCAAGGATATATAGTAGCTCCACATCTTCTGTTGCAGAAATGGATTCAGAATTAAAAATTTCAAAAGAAAACTAAATTATTTTTTTTAAAAGCAGCATTAAAAAGAACACTGAAATCCAGAAGACTGAAAATTTATACAATACAGGACAATTTGGGGACAGCAAATAAAATGCAACAATATGAATGATCAAAATATTTTCCATGGTTTTGAATTCTGTTTCTTATTTGAAGTAAATTTCAAACTGAAAAATCTGCCGTTCGCTGTTGACATAGTTTAGTGATAGCATGTTTGCCTAGCATACAAGCAGCCCTAGATTAAACCTACTGCACCTCAAAAAATAAAGAAATAAGAAAGGAAAGAGAAGGGAAGAGAAGGGAAGGGAAGGGAAAGGAAGGGAAGGGAAAGAAAAGGAAAGGAAAAGAAGGAAGGGAGAGGGAAGGAAAAGAAAGGAAAGGAAAAGAAGGGAGGGGAGGGGAGGAGAGGGGAAAGAAGGGAAGGGTAGAAAAGAAAAAAAGAAATGAGAAAGGAAAAGAGAGAAAGGAATAAAGAGAGATCTACCACTCATCAGAACAAACAACACGTGTTTTTGGTCATAAATCTCTAAAGCTCAGGTGAGCCCAGCACTGGGAGGTGAGGGGTGGAGGAGCCCATGTGAAAGGCAGACTGAGCTAGAAAGTGAGACCATGCCTTAAAAAGTAAATATAAACAAATTGACCCTAATTGTGCAAAATAGATTTCTCATAATTGAAACCACCACGTCAAATGGTTATGTTTCTGCTTCCCGGCTGCATATTTCTGGCGTTACGGTATAGAGAGTTATTCAAACTCTTATCATTGCTAATTAAAGAGACAAGAAAACCTCTTTGTATGGTCCTGATGTAATCTGTATGAATTTGTATTATTTCATATGTATCTGAAACTAACAAAATTTAAAGTTAGTTACTTGCTCTTCCACACGGCGATTCTTAAGACACTGATGCTAACACGCACAACTCCAGAGCACTGTGAGACTCAGAGCCTGGAACACGCACGCCAGTCTTTGCTTTCTGACAACTGCTGCTCACTCTCTCTCGTGTGTTCCTCAGAATCAATACCAGGTGGAAGAATATCTGGATTTTTTTTTCTAATTTGAAGTATAAATGCAGCAGTTAAGTAGCCAGGTTCTATAAAGGGGGCATTTATAATTGTTTGCTTTTTTAAAATCAGGCCATATGCCTACGTTTGGCATGAAGTGTGCACTTGGGTGCACTTGCACAATGCATTATTAGAAACATTTTGAACTACCTTGGAAGAAGTTCAACAACCAGTCACTTCCTCCGAGCCCTCCTCTAAGGCCAAGTGGTTTGGAGAAGCATTTTTAGCTAAGCCACAGGAGTGGATTTTCCCATTTAAATTGCAATTTCAAGCAATAAAATGAAATAAAATATATTTTATGTCTTACTAGAAGTAACGGGTTTAAGCCAGTGAGAGTGATTATCGTGATACAGCTTTGCCCTTGCTAATGGAGGCGAGGTTTGCTTTCGTTTGCAGCAGGCTCTGCAGAAAAGGCTCCTCTGTGACTCTGTGGTAATCACGGAATCAGTGAAGGCTTGCAGTCTCGTCAGACGCTTGAAAAGGGTAGATATGGCCTCCACGGCAAGCTTAACGCTCGTACACTGTGACTCTCATACAACACACAATGGTACAACCTTTGCCAACCCAGTTGCATGTGGTATCCATGGCCTAAATCTACATCATAATCTTCATTATTGTCAGCTTTAGACATGTTCCAATCAAAAGCATAGCAGTTGATACAGCTAGTTAGGGTTTTGGTAGCAATGTTCCAGGGTCAGATAATAGAATTCCCTTTACTCTGCTAAGGGAACAAGTTGAGAGAAAGTCTGTTCTAAGGAGCAAGGAAGTCAACACACATACTGAAATGGTAAAATTGGACAGGATTTTATTATTTAAAAGTGCCACATGGTACTAATTCTCCTCACACGGCTGGAAGAAAACTTTACCATTCCTATTTTATTAAATATGTCTATGCTTACCTGTACCCCCAAAAATGCAAGTTCCCTTGGAACTACTTGGCTGGAGCATCAGTGGGCACATACTTTATAATGCTGCCGCTAAGATGTATCCATGCACAGGTACAGCCTTTGCATTAGATAACCAGCAGAAAACTCAACTTGACACTGTTCTTTATTTACTGTTGAAGCATCCTTATAGACATGAAATTCTTAAATACTTCAGTTGCATAGCAAGATAGAATATGAGAAACAAAGACTTCATACATAGGAGTTGAATGTCGAATATTCCACTTACAGAACCAGGCCTCGGGTAAGGAACTTTTCCTTCATACAGTGACCAGTGGTATTCGGGTCCTTCTTTATGAGCATATGGGCCGTTAAAGGCTTCCCGTATACTTGACATGTGATAGACACAGATAGCATGGCCTCTGAATATATTGCTGAAAAATAAAAATTATAAATCTAGATATAACTAAGAGTTTACTTGGTCAAATACCCCAATATATGTACATTGGAATTAAAACGAGCAATTTCTTTCCTTTTCCTCTTTCTTTCTTTCTTTCTTTCTTTCTCCTTCCTTCCTTCCTTCCTTCCTTTTTTTTTTATTTTTTTGAGACAGAATTTCTCTGCCAAGAGCCCCAGTTATCCTAGAACTCACTTTGTAGACCAGACTGGCCTCGAACTTACAGAGATTCACCTGCCTCTGCCTCTCAAGTTCTGGGATTAAAGGCATGCACCACCACCGTCCAGCAAAAAGTAATTTTTTTAAAGCATAGAATATTCTAGAAATCTTAATTATTGCAATATTAAAGTAACAAAATCAAAAGACTTTCCATTCCTTTTATTTCCTATTTTCTAAACTTGAAAATGACATTAGGAGGGTGGAACTGTTCAACTTCTCTTTGAAATTGCTAAGTCTTATGTGTGCTTTTGCATTTATTTGAATTATTTTCATGTCATCATCACCTATTATTTCTTTGATAAAGGTGGGAGTTACAGTGCGCACAGTGTCAGAGAACTTTATGAGTCAGTTCTCTCCTTCCACCATGTGGTTCTCAAGTTCAAACTTAGATTGTCAGGCTGGGCTGCAAGTTCCTTTACTTGATGGACCATTTTTCAGGTCCCCTCTTTACATCTTTTTAAAGGCTATTAGCAATTTAAATTGCTCATTTTAAGGGAATATTTCTATGTCATTACATCCTGAGTGTAGCTAATGCTCCATTAATCATTATGTTGTTGACGTTACTACAAATTCTATATGCATTTTACTTGGTTTCCTGGTAGCCTTTACCCTACTTTTTATCATGGTGTCCTTTAAATATTAGAACATTTGTTAAACTCTTCTTCAAGTCACTGAATTCATCACTGATGGAAGGACTATATAAAACTCAGATACTTGATCATCATATACAGCAGCAATCAAAATGATTTTTGAAATGGTAAGATTCCTCTAGAGGGTAAATATCATTGTTGAATATGGTATTGGGGACATGTGCAATCACGTTTAGTGAAAAGCTATTGTTACAGTACTTGAACACAGAGTCGTCATTTGAATGAAGTGTGCCATTTCGCAGTCTCCTTATTTTGTGAATTAAAATAAGTGATGTTTGTGAAGGAGCTTTAGGAAAACCATAAACTCTGTGTAAGTGTATTTCCTGCACTTTGGGCCAGCTGTAGAGCAGAAGCCATGTTATTGTCTTAGGACATCAATTCACACATTTTTATACTACACCTTGAAGCAATTGGAAATGCCTGTGATACTGGGGAGAACTAGACAGTCTCAGCGGAGGTGGCAATAAACCTTTGATCACCATTCCACAAATATCAACCTCCGTGGCAGGTACAGCTGGGAGCTCTTTCCCCCTCTCAGATTTATATATAAACTGAACAAAGTGGAAATCATGGAAAAAAATCATGCCTTTGATTTCTCTGAATGATCCAATATGCCATCATTCAGGTAATTAGCTTTTAAAGAGATCATTTGAAAGAATAGAAAATAAACAGATTACCTCATCGATCAAATTTATCACTTAAAGAATTATCACATGATGCAACAATCATTTGCGTTAGGGAGAAAAATGAAGTAAAGGGGGCTGTCTGTGCATTGTAGTCAATACCAATACCTATTAACTTTTAAAACTGACAAAAAGTATAGTTAATAGAAAGAATTGTTCTCATATCATCCTGTGGAAGAAAAGGTCTGATTAAAACAAGATACTTGTTCAAAGAGCTTCTAGGTGTTTTCATTCAAAGTGATCTTCAAAAATCAGCTGCTTAAAATCTAAAGAAAACTGTGCGAAGCACCAGCTGCAGGGTCTATTAAACTTTGGCTTTAACACATTAATGAGAAGAGGTAGCTGGGCGGTGGTGGCGCACGCCTTTAATCCCAGCACTCGGGAGGCAGAGGCAGGCGGATCTCTGTGAGTTCGAGACCAGCCTGGTCTACAGAGCTAGTTCCAGGACAGGTTCCAAAGCCACAGAGAAACCCTGTCTCGAAAAACCAAAAAAAAAAAAAAAAAAAAAAAGAAGAGGTAGCAGCATCAACTCATCTCGGTTGACACACTGAGGTAGTTCCTCCGTTATTGTTGGTGCTGCCATTTTCCTTTGGAGAGAGACTCAGGAAATTACGTATGCAAACTTTCAACTGAAACCAATTCTAGGAACATTTCTTATTTCACACATCAATGCATGTAAAATATTAGTTTATAGAACTCTTCCATAGATACACAAAATGCAAAAAAAATGGAAAGGGGGGAATAGCACATATCTAAGCATCACCTTGAGCACCACATATCACAGATGGAGAGCAGATGACACATGCGTGCTCAGTATGTGTCTACACAGGAGGAAGACACAAGAACAAAGGCGTAGGGACTATTCCTGACTAAGGGCTTGGGAACATTTCTTGGGCATGTGTGGTAAGTATCAAAGAGCCAGCATAGACTGATATTGGAAGGGAAAGTCAAGTCCAGCAGCAATACTGAACAAAGCAGGGGTGGGAGAGTGAGGGAGTGGTGTGTGCAATGCTAAGATCTGTCCATGTAAATACTGAGATGTATCAAAGTATGATAGGCATTGGTGAAGTCAGAGAAAAAGTACCCAAAACTAATACTGTATCTACTATACATCTAATATATATATATATGTGTGTGTGTGTGTGTATATTTGTATATGTGTATAATATATATTATATAATACTAGAGCACTTTGTATATACATGTATATAATTGTAGAGCACTTTGTGTGTGTGTGTGTGTGTGTGCATGTATGTATGTATGTATGTATGTATATAATACCAGAATACTTTAAAAGCCTGGATTAGAAATTTTCATCTGAAAAATAAAATTACAATTTAACCTAGACTTGACAGTGTGGAAGTGATATCTTAAAACCTGACCATAAAAAAAAAATGTCAAAATGTTATCTGTAAGCAATGAAAGAGATTGGGGGACAAGCAGATGCAGGAGGATGATGGGACACGATGAACAAAAGAGTTAGGACTAGAGCGGGGTTGTGGCTTTATCCAATGAAGACCGGTGGCAGTCGGACAGAGGATGGGAATGGTGATAGGGTCGGTGTCTGCGAGCTGTGTACCATGGAAGGGACTGCAGGGATACGGTTGTCCTTTTCTAGTGCGTTCTCACCTGGTAGTGTTAAACAGCCCAAATATCACTGGGTTCTTTGGGTCTCTGGTAGGCAGGAGAAACACATCCTCTGGAAGAATGAAAGACCATCATTTTAACCTTCTCGACATGTGAAGAAAAAATATATACACAGCATAGTTCAGAACCATGTATCTTAAGACCGGATTTCCCACTCCACAGCTGTGCCCAGGGCAGAAGAAGGAACCATTGCTCTTCTCTGGATGGTGACTTACGCTGAGTGACAGAGCAGGACCCCACCCTGCTCCTCTGTGGAGATGAGTTTCTTTGTCCCCCCAACTCTTCTGCCCTCGGAGGAGATTGGGTCAAAGTGAAGAGACAGAAACTCGCCTTTGGGCTGTAGAGGTCAAAGCCTTCCGGGACACATTTTTTTCCACCCATGCCTGAGAGAGTGACAGTCAGAGAGAAACATGCCTGCAGGAGAATGAGCTGTCTACCCTCCAGGAATAATTACCTAGCTCGTCAAAATATGTGTCGATGCCATTTGCGCCTGGAACAGAGCAAACGAGCCTTGCTTTGAGGAATGTGCTCCACTTATTCACCAGTATTCTCTGCCCTCCCACGTCATTCTGGGAAAAACAAAATGGACAAATGAATACTTACAGAGCATTTACAAAGCAAGGTTTAATTTGGTGAAATGGGCTGATGGGTTTGTTGTTTGCGTCAGTGTGTGTGTGTGTGTGTGTGTGTTTGTGAACATTTAGCAAAATCCTCAGATAACACTACAAACCATTCCCTCTTATTTCTCCCTTGCATTGCCTTATCACTGTAGTATTCTTAAAAAAAATCATTTAATTTTTACTTTCACATGTGGAGTATTATATCACATTATATCACATGCATATAGGGATGAGCAGCATGCATGGGTTGGTGCTGCAGAAGCCAGCAGACGTCATCTGGTCCCCAGGGTATGAGTCCCAGGTGGTCGTGAACGGCCAGATATGGGTGCTGGGCATGGAACTGAGCTCCTCTGCCAGAGTCACAGGTGTAAGAACCTGTGACTGCCTCACCAGCCCCTCAGTGCAGTACTCAAATACTCTCAATATATTTTCCAGCTATTACGCTTACTAATACCACACATATTAACACTGCATTTGTGATGTAGCAACCTTGTTTATTATTTGTTCATATATGGTGTGCCTGTCTCAAGAATTTGGATGGATCGTACCATTTAGTTCGCTTGGGAGAGAAGCTTATGAAACAAGGCCTGGTGGCTGATATCTGTAATCCCTACACTTAAGAGTTCCAAGTCATTCTTAGCTGCACGTGTGTGTGTCTACATACTATGTGTGTTATTATTATTACATATCTTCTCAAATGTGAAAACACTCATTATCATGGTTTTGCTTTTAGTTTTGTTTTATTCTTTTATTATAGAACTGATCAACTGAATTTCTCATAACCAGATATATAGAATCCCAAATAGATTGTGAACCTAATAAAAATTATTAAATTCAATTTAAAATATTATAGAATTGAGACAATATGATGGCTCAGAAGGTTAAGGCACCTGCACAAAAGCCGGAGGACCTGAGTTCAATCCCCAGGACCCACATGGTGGCAGAGGAAAACATATGTCTAACATTCATGAACATGTACGAGCAGTAACATACACACAGATATGCACACATAAAAACGAGCAAATACATATACTATCTTTTAACTAGAACAAACTTCTATTTGGAAGAAAATACTAATTATAGACTATTTTCTAACATGGCTTTGAAAAATGAGAAAACTCATCCAAGGTAACGTTTTATCGTGAAACTTTCATTATCAATTAAGTGATGGACATAAGAAAGCTTACAGAACACTTTAAAATCTGAAAAGTAGAAGTCTGCTAAAGAACACTATGTCGGATGGGTAGGGAAGAGGTGGGGCATGAAGAGGAGTTGAGGGAGGGGAGACTGATATGACCAAAGAATATTGTATAAAACCCTGAAAAGAGGCAGTCAAAACAAGTCTAAAACTGTATACAAAAGGCCTGGTACACAGTGTAAGCAAGTAAATGTAGGAACACAGAGACACCATCCTCACCACGCACAGCCGCCCCACTCGGGTATAGATTGTGTGGGCACTGTTCTCTGCTTCCAGCGCCTTCTCAGTAAAAAAGAAGTACATCTTGTTGTCATCTCGGTCTTCATTGTCAGGGATCATATATGAACCTACAAATTTTGGTTCTATGGACAAAACATAAGTGAAAAAGTAAAAAAAATCATATATGTAATGGTGTAATAGCAAAGTCACCTTGATAAATTATTTAGCCCTGGATTGTCAGTTTGTGTGAAAATACAAACCATCTTGAAAGTTTTAGAGAATTATCGAAAATTAGATTAACTATCCTCATTTTTATGCCAAAATCAATAGACAATTAAAAATGTGATTTAAATAGGAAACACAAGAGTCAAGGATACAGAAAACAATTTTAAAGGTCCATGTTGCAAAGCAAGTACATTTAGTGAATGTACAAGCTGGAGACTATTATGAAAACAATCTCTATGAAATTCTTCTTAGTCTATACAAAGTGAACGTACATCACATCAAAGTTTAAGAGTACACTGGTACTTACTTTTATTCATATACAATCAATAAACCTCATGGAAAAATCACTCATTTTTGAAGTAAGAAATTTAAGCTTTTGTGTTTAGATTGGACAGCATCTGAGTAGGTGACTTTTGATTGATACGGTAGCAGGCATGTTAAAGATAAGGCATGTATATTGGCGCTTAATCAAAGGCTGGGAATGATGAAAACCCTCACTATAACATGGTATTTTCCCTCCCAGATATATTAGGATGTGACAAAATATAAAACTTATTTATATGTGTGTGTGTGTGTGTATACATATGAGTAAAACTGCATTTACGTAGTATAGAACTCTGGTTAGTGAACCACGAGTGACCCTCTTCCATTTTTCTTTGTCTAAAGTGCAGCGCGATCCTATCGAAGCAGCGAGGCACACAATAGCTATAGCAGCAAGGATGCCACTTATGAGTCTTTACTTTTCATATTCGGTTTGCTTATTTCATTTAGCTCTTGGTATCTTGGCATCGCTTTAAATAAACTCACTGCATCACTAAGGTAAACCACTTTATTAATAAAATGATAAACACATATCATATGTATTTTGGACCCAAGAATGCCATAGTTACAGAACTATTTTGTGTTTATATTTTCACTACCAAGATGGCAGACTTAGCCGCGGCCTATTGGGTTGTTTCCCAGTCTGGTTTTCCAGGCTCTTGTCTGCTCATCTCTACCTTTCAGCAGCCGGTCATCGTCATGCTCCGTGCGAATGTGGCCCAGCTTCCCCAGACTGCGGAAGATCGCAGAGTCTCTGCCCCAGTAGTCGCTGTAGAGTCCAGTAAACAGCTCGCTGCCTGCACAGGGGCACCGGGAAAAGAGTGTCAATGCCTGTCTCAGTCTGAAGATGAAGTAGAAGCCGCTGTTAGTCACTTTAACAAACATTCGACTTGAGGCCGGCAACACTGTTCTTAAGGGCAGAAGGGATGCAACCACGCAGCAGAGCAACAAATCCTGCTTGTCGAGTAGCTGTGAACTCTGAGCCCCATTTTCTTTCTGAACAGAAAAAGGAGCAGAGTTCAGAGCTGTTAGAAGAAAAGCACGGGAATGGGGCTGGGCGACGGGGGGGGGGGGGGGTGTCACTGGTGAATGCTGAGACCCATCTGGTGACGTAGCCGGGGTTCGTCTTAGTTTGGAAAATTTCTTGATACCAACTGTTTTTATCATTATCGCTGTACCAGGTATTGCAGTGGGTCAGTTAATACCTCAAGTGCTTCTTACATCAAATCTGCTGCCTTTAACGTGATTTAACCACGAAAAGTACAAAGTCTGCCAAAGTTGTGTCTACTCCAGTCAGTTGTCTTACATGTTGAGTTTACAGCTGAATCAGGGGAGACTGATAAAAAGATTCAAGATTTATCTGGAGTCAGCACAACGGCTGACCTGACCTGCAGCACCAGGAGAGGCCACAGACTTAAAACTCGGGGTCTGGGATTATTCAGATTCGTGTACGATCGTGAGAGATCACGATGTCTTTTTAGAGGAAGAAACAGGCATTAGTAGTTTAGGAAGAGAGAATAAAATTCTGTGCAAACAGAGAGACGGCATAGGCTGAACCTCGGGAATGCTATCACCTATGAAGCGTGGGGACCTCGAATGTCCTTCCTTCCTGTAATGACAGAGTGCAATGGGTTTGCATCAGTGGGCCCAGGAGGCCTGTCCTGGGAACGCCTGGTCTGCTCCCTCCCAGATGAACCTCATGGGCAAAGATGCAAAGAGTCACAGCAGATCTCTGGAACTAGGATCCTCACTTAGAGTGGTCAAGTTATTTCCCTACGGTGTGCCCAGAACTCTAACTGGGTTTGAAAATAAATCAGAAATGACGATGCTTGAAAAGTACATTATTGATTTTTACTTTTTGTATGTATGTGCTATATACACATCCATGTACATATGCAAGTGTGTGTTCACACGGGCGAAGCTACAATCTTTCTCTCTCTCTCTCTTGCTCTTGTATCTCTCTCTTTCTCCTTCATTTCCTCTTCCTTCCTTCCTTCCTTCCTTCTTTCCCTCCCTCCCTCCCTCCCTCCCTCCCTTCTTCCTTCCTTCCTTCAGAATGTATTTACATGTGCACACATGTTTAAAGTCATTCAAAGTGTAAGAAAACTCACAGTAACTTCATTTTCAATTTACTATGCTATTTATGCCATTAGTTTCAAGGTAAGACTGATAATGTTACCGGTATTAAAACTTGACCAATAAATGAACTCAATTTAAGGAGACTGCAGAAATTGCTTAAAATTTCATTTGTTAATTTTATTTCAGAATTTCTAAAGTTTTTTTTGTCTAACATAAAATCTTTAAAACTTTTCCTAAAAATTCAAATTATCACACACATTTGCATGGTATAAGGTTTCAAAAGTGTCAACTGGGTTGTGTAAAAGGGAATTCATAAAGATGTTTATTTCTAATGTGAGAAAACCATTAATTTTCAAAAACAATTGCTTTATTATAACAGTTAGAAGTAGGTTAATGAGATATCAATCAAACTCACATGTTTAAAAAAGTATGTATAAGTATTTCTGCAATAAACTAATTTTCATTTTTTTAAAATAGCAAATATAAATGAGATGCCTTTTCTGTCTAGAAAGCCTACAATGGAAGTTTAAAAACTATAGTCAGTTAAATGCAATCCTCTGGCAAAAAGAATTCACTCTTTTGTTTAGTGTGGTTATTTAAATTTCACATTTTCACTCTACAGCAAAAGCAATGTTTATTCAATGTTATTCATTTAAAGATTCAATTTACAACCAGGCAAACAAACATAATTTTCAAAAGCCACTTTGAAACAGACTAACTAGAAACTTACTGTGTGGAAACGAATTTGATTATTGCCTTATTATTAACTCATAATTTATAGCCAAGACTTCAGGATTTCTGTGAAGCTATCCCCTTGGCCTATAGACAGAACAATAACCCAAGTCGGCAAGACTTGGGCCAACAGTGTAAGTAGTAAAAGCAGCTCCCAGGTCTAGCTGAGAGCTTTGTTAGTAGTTCTTGATATATTTGTAAACTGGTCAAATTTGCTTTTGATATAAGAGCGGCTATCTTTTCTCAAAGTGTTACACCGGTGTTTTGCTTTATTTTCAGGGAAACAACTGCTATTTTTCAACCAGGCACTATCACTCTCTCTGCTTTCCCTCCCTCCCTCCCTCTCTCCCTCCCTCTTTCCCTCCCTCCCTCTCTCCTTCCCTCCCTCCCTCCCTCCCTCCTTCCCTCCCTCGCCTCTCTCTCACCCTATCATCTATCTATATCTATTAGTCTATCTCTCTATTTATCTATCTCTATAATACAGCACATCTCTCTATCAACCTCTTATACTTTTAATTCCTTCCAGACATGTCCTACTTCCCTTCTCAAATTTACGTCATTTTCTTCCTTAATCATTTTATATATGTGTATGCACACGTGTGTGTGTGTGCTACTGAATGCAATTATTATGGGCCATATATTCATAAGTACAGGGCTGGTCACTTGAGCATAGGCAAACTATCAGAAGACTTGCCCTACATAAAACTGGCTCTCTCTTCGTCAGGAGCTATCAATTGCGTATAGCTAATCCTATAAACTACAGTAAGGATCCACCCCACAACAGGGCAATAGCGGCGATAATATCTTAGGGATAACAAAGAGCTGCTGGGTTGGACTTGAGACCAGCTTATTTTCAGGGAACTTATACCTATATCTGAAAACCTAGGCAAGAGCCCATGGTCAGAGGGGTCACAGACCTTAAAGAAGAAAACATTACTACCAGTTTGCTAAGTTGACATAGTATCCAACTGTCTTCGAAATATTTATCCTGATCTCCATAGATCAAAGCAGCTCTCAGTACACACACACACAAAGGCAGGAATTCATAACTGATCAAGTTGGTGACTCTGATGTACCAGTCCCCGTTTGTGACACCTATAAAGGATCAGGGAACATTGCAGAAAGAGGGGCAGAAAGATTATAAAAGACAGAGAACCTCAAGAACTGCAGTAAAACAACATCTTCTGGACATGACAGAGATATTGCACATCCCTGAACTCTCTGTAGCTGTAACTGTGAGAGCGTCCCCATAGGACACCAGTCAGCATCCCATCATGATGCAGGGAAGAACACAGGACTTTGAGAGTCTACTTTTTCATAAAGCAAGCAAAAAAGGATAAGCCAATGAGAAGAATGTTCACAACCAACAAATCACGGTGGAAAGTAGCAAGTTCCCAATTCATTCCTCTCCCTTGACTTTCTCTTTGAACTTCCTCAAGAGAGCAAGCTTTAACAAGGAAGAGATCTGTTGTATTCATATCATTTATTAACATAAGCAAATGAGAGTACGATAATAAGAAAATAGCATAAAAAGAAAGGTATAGAATATACATTAAATTATAATTTGGAAAAGTTTTATCAGACTAGCATACATATCTTTTTATGGAGAGAAGAGAATTTTTGAGGCAAAAAAAATGACTCAGTGGTTAGACATGTAAACCATTTTCTGGGATTCAGTCTGTACCGTTTAATGAGACTTGAGACTCATCAACTATTATTATGGCAATACAATTTTACTCCTGTCCATATATCTTACCTCACTTAGCCCAAATTAGAATTTTGTTTCAAAGTTCTGCTTGTCTTGAGCAAGGCCAAACAATGACCATGTCAGCCAGTAGATGGCAGCCGTACAACAGCAAATGATGCCTTCTCTTGGCAGGTTGTCTGCTCCAAGATTTATTTTCAGTTTTATCCAATTTCTCTTTTTGTAGTTAGATGAAAGAAAATACTTCATAAAAATTCAAATAAATAAATGTAGGCTTTATTATTTCAACTTCACAGGAGGTTGTTAAAGCAACCAGGTGTTAAAAATTGTAAGCTATGGAAACCGAACCAAATGTTGGTTGGGCATATACACTATTCCTCAGAAGTTCCTGTCTTCATGTATTATTATCAGTGTGGAAAAAAATACCAGGCTACAACAGGTAGGTACTGTTCTTGGGAAACCATTTCCCAAAGAAAAATAAAGAGAAGATAATACACCAACAATAAACATAAAAAAAATAGAATTAAGCTTAGGTACAATTAATACCGAACAGTATTAATTAAATGAGTGGAACAAGTATCTAAAAAAAATAGTTCCTTAAAATATACTTCTTTAAAATTATAACTACTTGGTGTCATTAAAATTTTGATTCATTATTTTGCTAATTTCTGGAATGAAACAATGAATGAATACCATCCAAATTAGCCTTATTTCCCTGATTTAAAAAAGGGAATAGATTCATGTATAGAGTGAAATTTAGGGTTGCAACAATAAGAACAGACACATCCCTGGCTTTGTATTTCTGGGCACACAAATGTATTAATTTAGATGTGGTTTTTACTTGTTTCCAGTCTATTTTGATGTTTTGAATAAGAACAAGGTAATGTTTATGCCAAATACTCTTTTTAATTATTATAGAACTGCAATTGAATGGTGAGCAATATTGTATTAACTTTAGGCAGCTAATTGGTTATCAATGAGCAAAAGACACATGTTGTCAGGGCATTTTGAAAGGAATATAACTTATCACACTCAATGATAATCTCTACACATAGGTAAGATTACAACTGAGAAAATTCTGCACTGGAAACAAGCTAAGAGTCCAGCTCCAGGTCATCCACTTGGCCCTGAGAAAAGTGCTATTGTCATAACGTTACCTGTGGAACAAAGGGGTCTCTCCCTACTGACTTCCCTTCCCTTTGTATGACTCCTTTCCATCTACACCACAGAGTCTTCCAGGGCCAAATGCTACGGACACCATCCTAACTTATATCAATCATC